TTCAGTCTTTGCACAACACTTGTCTTGTCAACTTCCTTCCCAATCTCACTGTGTGTATTTGTATGTGTGTGTGTGTGTGTGTGTGTGTGTGCGCGCGCGGGCGCGTGTGTGCGCGTGTGGTTAAATCAGTTTTTCGTCGAGGTAATCGGTTTTACCTTGTATTCAATTTCAGTCTGCTCCCAACATTTTTTCCATATTTGTCGTAACTAGCCACGATCTTAACTTTATTAATTGTATTTATTTTAATAAACTATAAATTAGCCTGCTCGTTTAACTATTCAGAATTTTATCGAATTTTAATTTTAAAAATCAAAATTTTTACGCTCAATGCTTATTCTAATAAGTTTTCTTTACTCGGGATTTTCATTCAATATTTGCCTATAAAGCAATTATTGTCTTTATATCATTTATAGCATACGATGACTAACTCGCTTCTTCGTTCGTATAACAAGTAACTAAAACTAGCATAAATATTTTTAATTACTCGTCTTTTTTATATAATAAAACTTTAGACTAAAATAATACTAAAAGTAATTGAATTTCTAAAGAAATACTGTAATAAATTATATCATAAAGTAAAGAAATTTTTAATTATTTTAATTGTAATTTCTAGATAATTTGAATTAACAAAACTGTAACTTCGATGGATATTTTGAGTACATTAATAATAAATGGATTTGTTAAAGAAATAACATGTCAGTTCCGTTTAATTTTATTTAGGATTTTCAATAATTAAATAGAGGATCGATCTATTTCTTAAAAAGTTTAAAATGAGACAAAATTGATAGAAAGTAATTGCTAAAAATGAATAAAAACATTAATAGTAAACAAAGGAATTTCGAAATAAGACGATTAGTGAAATTAAATTATATTTAAATTACTTGGAATTTAGTCAAATTCAACTTCATCACATTATTTCATATAAAATATCATAAATAATTTTTAGGGGATAATATTTCATATCGAAAACTTATAGACATTTTGTTTTCAATAGAATATATATATATATATATATATATATATATATATATATATATATAAATATTAATTAATTAATTAATTATATTTTTATGTACGGTACATGGTTGATAAAATTATTAACATTGTATTCAATATATAACGCTATTTATAATATTTTTAATAATATATTATATAATTATGTTATATTGTTTTGGCATAATCTATTAATACATTTGTGTGAGTTTCAGTTTTTTAAATAAAGTAATGAAAAAAAAAACGTTATAAATATTACTAAAATATTAAAAATTTAATATCGATTAAAGAATAATTTCATTCTACCATTAACTTAACAAGATTGTATTATTTTTCCAAAATTTACTTCTTTTCTGTTATTCAGTTATTTAAATCATTTTTAACTCCACGGTATACATATAGTATGCGACGATAACAATCCTTCAAATAAAGAAATTAGAATCTATTTTGAAAAACGTTCGATAGATAAATAAATAATCTTTTCTTCTTACTTACATTACATATTTATGTACATACAAAAATTCTATAAATACAGTAGAGTAGACAATTTTTTTTTGTTTTTTAATTGAAAATAAACGGGTAGAACTGTTATACATATTGCTTTAATAACATGAAATTTGAAATTTCAAATAATTTTCATAGCTACTTTTTAAATATATCGCAGCATTACAATTGTTACGAAAAATTGAATCAATTATTGTGAATTTTACCGAATGCGTCATATATCTTATATCAACTAGTATCATAACTCTTTAAAATATAAAATAGAGCATATCATATTTTATTGGAGAATGTTTAATTGGAATTTTATATTATACATACATTTATATGATACATACATTTTGTTCGCATTTTCATAATTACCCTCGATACTATTCATTAAAACCTATGAATCTAATATACTGCGGTTGCAATTGTTTTAAATGAAAATTGAAAAATTTTTATAATAAATGTAGGAAAAGAAGTGATATTCCGATAAAGGCATTTCACATTTAATCTTATCGAAAGTAACGCAGAGTGGGGTGGAAAACAATAGTCCCATGTAACGAAGTAGAAAGTGAAAAAAGTGGTCATATTTGAACACACTTGGCGATAATCAGAAGTCACGAGTGATGATGCTAGATAGTTTCGACGACATGGCTGAAGTAAGATAAAAGAGCACAGCGTCTGTCCGGGAAACCGGTTAGTAAATGTAATCCATGAAACTCCAGTCGCTCGAAGAGAGTCTCAGTTGTTAACCAGACCGGCTTGCAAAGATGTTTAGTTCAAAGGTAAGTGAAAATTCGTGCAACGATTTATTTATTCATGTCGTAACGTTGTTATACTTTTATCATACGTTATTTATCTTGGTAAAATTTATTTTTAATATCAAAGATTCACTCGTACTGTATAGAAAAAATAGTATAAAATTATTAAAAATAAAAAAACAACAACAACAACAAAAAAAAAAACAAAAAAAAACAACGAAAGTGTATATTATTATATTTTCATAATTCATAAAGGCATTTAAGTAATTTATTAAACATCGTCGATATATGGTAGATATACGAATTATTAAACACACTTCACAATTTAAATAATTGTAATAAAGATATATATATATATATATATATATATATATATATATATATATATACAATTTCTAGTTTAAAAATGTCTTATTAAAATACTCCTCTTTCGATATTATTGAAATACACTAAAGTTTAAATAACATAATATTAATATCTTATATCGACCAGCAAGATACAATAAAATCGAATATTCGTTAATTAAGAATTAAATAACATTGTTATAACTATATTGCAAAATTAATTTATTTATATTAAACATTAAAAAATGTCATTTTACAATGATTCTAAATTAATTTGTCGAAAGACCATGTAATTATATTTGTTAATTAGTTTAGTACTAGTTTCTATAGAAAATTTAATTCAAATTTTATTTTAATTACTATAAATTTTTAACTTTTTTCCTCACCTTCGCCAATGTTGTAAAAATATATATTATCTAAAATGTATACTAAATTTTATAAAATCTATCGGTAGTAAAATTAATTTTTTTTTTTTAAATCAATTTTTTTATTATTATTGTACTAGTAAAACATTATATTTAAAAAATCACAATATTATTAAGTAATATTTAGCGCAAACATAATATGAAAACACATTATATAAATCTTTTGCTTTTGAAAGAATAAATTTATATGAAGTTAAACAAAATCACTTATTCGTATAAAAAATATTTTTAAATCAATTAGACGGTTAGAATTTTATTGTATTTCTAAACCATAATTCTACAAAAATAAAGTACTTATCTCAAACAGAATAAATCTTTTTAAATCGTCTCCTTCATTTCCTAAAACTTGTTGTAATTTGCTAACAATAAGAGAAAACGTACTTTAAACATGTACCTCTTTTGTTTTTTTGTTTCTGATTTTTTTTTTTTTTTTGTTATAAGAGTTTTAATTTACCATAATGATCCTTATTCCACGGGTTTTCAAAATTATCACACAAAATATAGTAATACTTTATTATTTTCAACGCTACTATAAGTTTTTTTAAGTAGACAATACGACTCTTTTATGTGTAACATAAGTTGTTTTCGAATTGAAATATATAATATATTAAATGCTTAGTAAATTTAAAATATGGGATTAGAGATAATAAGATTATAGAGATTACTTAAAAAAGTAAAAGTCTTAAAATGATAATATTTATTTGTAGCTTATGTCTTATAATGGTAAAGTTTAAAAAATATAACTTGGAAGTACGAGCAATTAGAATTTGAGTATTTTATAATTGAGTGACGTCAGTATGTTAAATTTTTTTTAATTTGATCTATGATGAATAATGGCTGTAAAATGAATTAGGTTTTGTATACAATTTTTGTAATTGGACTGAAAGAAAATGTATTTATATCGTTCAGATCGTAATTTATTAGTAATAAGCTTAAACTGTTATATAAGATCTACGTTTTCTGTTAAATAATCTTTTTCTTTTTTTTTATCGATGGAATTTTATTTAAATTGTATTTGATTTATAAAATATAAAATATAAAAATTATTTTCATACAGAAAAACTGAAGAAAAAAATTAAAAATTGTGGTATTGTAATTTATTTATTTTTTGATTACTGTCTATTATCTATCCAAATAGTCTATTATATAATATATATAATACATTATATTTATCATTATTTGTATTTTACGAATTTTTAGTAATATTTTAGATAATACATTATTTTTCCATTGCGTTATACCGAGTTGATCGAAATATAGAATTTTTGCTTGAAACATTCACGAATCTAAATATGTATTTTTTATACATTATTCGTACGTATTATTACATGGCGAGAAGAACAACTTAAACAATTCTAGTTGGTATTTAAATTAAAATATATCTTTCTTCTTTATTTTATTAAAGCATAGAAACTTTATTTGCGAGATATATTGTAAGAAATCATTTTGGTTAACATTACCTTCTCAAACGCTGTTCAAATCCACATAATTTTATTTGCTTATAAATATTCTTATTATCGATATTTCATATTTAAATTAACATTTAGAAATCTTATAAAAATTCTGTCTCGCTATATCTAAATTACTATTTCCTACTTGATAATATCGCCATATCAAATTTATTTAATTAACTTCTTTAAAATAAATATATTTATTCGGCAAATTGTTTAAACATTTTATTTGTTGAAAGTCCTACTTGTTTTATGCTACTTACAATTCAAAGAGTTTTCGAATCAAAGGAAATCAAATAAGCAATGAAATACTTGAATGATATAATTTAACGATTCGAGCAATTACTTTTATTACAAACAATAATCAACGGCTAGCGGTTACTACAGATTTGATCTCAGTCTCGGCATTATATATTTCTTAATGAATAATAAATTATTATAAAATAAAAAATCTTATGTACTTCATTGTAGAAGACAGTAAATAGCTAAAAATGGTCAATTTCCCCAGTAATAAATTATATTAAATTTCAGATTATCAGATTCTTATGCTTTCATTTAATGATTTCGACATATGTTTTAACAATCAATGAATTGGAGTTTAAAAATAACGTCGATGTAAAGAAAGCGTTTACTCTTGACGACATCATATCAAATGCTTATAGCAGCGATACATTTAATGGTACCTGGATATCAGAAACGGAAATTTTTTACCGAGTCGATGAATTACTTCTGAAATTTGATGTAACAATACAGAAGAGCGATATTGTCATGAGGAACAGACTATTTGTAAGTCTATTGAAAATATTCGATATTTTAATTATTTTAATTATATTAACTATAAGTTTGAATCAGTATGTCTTTATTAATTATCATTATTAATTTAGTTAATTCATTTTATTGTTTAAATCAATTATTATTAATGTGTCTTTGATATATATATATATATATATATATATATATATATATATATATATTTATATTTATTATTATTTATGTGTGTTATATATATATATATATATATATATATATATATATATATATATATATATAAGGAAATTCAAGGATTTGATATTATGTTAAAAAAAAAATCTATAATTTAACTTCAAACAGAATGGAAATTTATTCCCATTAATAAGCTGCTCTTGAATTTTCATGTAAATTTTAACATGACAGTTAAATTTTCATAGGAGAATTTTGACACTACGATTAGATTAAATTCTAAATTTTTCATCGGAAAACCAATTTTATGTTTTTCTGTGACATAAATCAAAAAAATTTGATCACGACAACAATTTTTACATAAAAAAAAATCGTGTTCCCGCCGTCACAACAAAAATTCATAATTTTCTTTATATACTCTTTTACATTGTCGGTTGATCTAAATCTATGAAAAATAAATCATCGTCGTTATTATTATTTAATTATTATTATCTATTATTTATTTCCTTAATGTGGCATGCTATCGTTTCCATAACAATCGTTCTTCGTTAAGATTTTTAACTCCTACTTTAAAGCGATATCTCTCGATGCCGAGTTTTCAGGTACAAGCAATGTTTAATTAAAGTAATTACTCGTCTGGTCGACTGCGAAATTCTGCATTTTACAGATTGAACAGTACTCGTGTTTTCCAAGCGCTTATGAAAGTCGAACTAATCAATAAAAGCCGCTAATATGCAATCTGTTGAATAAGAAGCTCGATTATTATTTGGAACACGGCGGCGGTTATATAAAAGCCTGATCATCAAAATGAACAATAAGAGTGCGTGTGTGTATGTGCGTGTATGGTGGGATGAGGGTGAGGGGGGAGGGTATCCTGCGATGCATCACTTCGATCCTATTACGTTTTGCTCGTGGCACATGGTGCGGATGGGAGCAAACAAGCAGACTCTCGACTTTATTATGGACCGCAAATGGAAAATAGGGGCGAGCCCGAAACATTGGCGCGTGAGGTTGTTCCGATGATTTGTGGCGCGAGGCTGGCTGCCGTCGCCGACGTCGCAACCGCCGCCATTGGTCATTGGTCGCAGCTTTAATAACAAATCCATGGCATTGCTATGCCTGCCGTTGGCGTTAGAATTTTCTTATTCCTCTTTACGAAGGGGCGGAGGTATTGTCGGTACTTGAGAATAATCGAACGGACCAATTAAGAGGATGATCGAGGTAGTCCCGTGATAGTCCGAGACATTCTTTTTACTTTTCATTACATTATCAAGGATTGTACTTGTTGTTTTATTTAATGGAGAGAAAGAAAGAGAGAGAGAGAGGGAGAGTCTTATTGATTTTCGTAGTGAATAAATGTAAGACCGACATAAAGATTTTGACATTTAAAGTTTAAAAAAATAAAGAAGAAAAAAGTATTGATGATGGTGGTGATGATGACGATGACGATGATGAAGAAGAAAGTGAAAGAAAATTCGTGCTTTTCCCTAGACTCTGCGTACTCGAGTTTCTAATCGCTTTCTTTTTATCGAATTGAAGTACTCGATAGACGTGATAAATCATATTTAAGCTTATATTTCTTAAAGTGACTTTTGACGTAATATTAAAATTTGCCTTTAAATACTTATTTAATATATTTTACTTAAATACAGTGCTTTCCTCTGCTAATTGAGTATGAAAGGGATTTTAACGACGAGTGAATTATTTATGATACGAAAGAAAATAACGAGGCCGGCAGTAGGCCGAATTCTGTCATTAGTGTAACGGGCTTGTAAAAGAGTTATAAAAACTTTTTAGGAGTATAATGTTAGACATCGTTAAGATAAAAATTTGTAGTGAAACTAAGTAGAAGTTTAGCGCACGGCCCCTGGGCAATTTAACGATTCATCGATGATACGACGACACCCTGGACGTTCATTCGTATTAAAGACTCTTGGGTCATGGGCACGTATATACGAAACCACGATATTTACTTAAGACGCATTCACAGTCTATAATGTATTTTTTTCTTTATATTTTTTTTAGGAAGAGTCGGACAATCTAGAATTCTTCCTCTCCTCGGATAATAATTACTTGCTTATACGTAATACGTCGCAAAACGTAAGTACCCGACAATGTTTCCGTAGTATTTTCTTGGATCGTACAATTTAAGCAACTAAAATTTATTTTCTATTTAGATTTACAGACACTCGTCTCTCAGTCAATACAGCATTTGCAATATAAAAACCGAGTAAGATTTTCACATATTTATTCGAAATTTACATTTAATGCAAATTAAGATATTGAGATATTTAATACACTAATATTATTATAATATTGTAATTATATATATGATAGTGTAATTTAACAATGAGTCTATCGAACAAATAAAAAAAAAAATAAATAAATAAATAAATAAATATGATATTAATTATTTTTTAAATGTACTTAAAGTTCATTTTAGTAATTGAGTGCTTTAAGTACACAAACAAATTATCAATACGTAGATCGCAGTCACGTAGTCATTTAAAGCTAGAATTACAAATACGATAAAATTACGGGCCATTTGCTATTTGAACTCGTATGATTTATTAAATAAAGGGGGGGTTTTTTTTTTTTTTAAATATTTATGTTAAATGAGAATGAAGGTAAGGATGAATATAGAGCATAATGTAATTATAAGATAGATAAACTTTATGTTTTACCTAAGATTGCGAAAGTGATTAAATTACTTAGATTAAAATGGCAGAGTCATGTAACTAAAATAGAAAATAAAATGGAATCATGAATTTTACTAATAAAATGGACATATAAAAGATGTTCTCACGGATATAGACGAATATTAATGTAAATTTAAATAAAACAAGGCATGAGAAAATAAAATTTATGGGTCTGATGTAATATAGAAAAACAATGCTTATGCATTAATTATGCTATTAAGTACACATTAAATTAAGTATTATTTTTAGATATTATTTTTTTTTTATAAATTCCCTTTACAAATATTTATATGGCCAATTCATTCGATACATTTTTCACACACATGCACGCGTATTTACATATAGTTGTAAAGACCTATATATCAAATATGTTTAATCGCATAAAATAAATTTTGCTATCTCTATAGTACTGATAATTGAGCGTGAACATATAATTTCATTAGATTTGCAAATTTACAAGTACAACAATGGCGAATTTGACAAGGAATAAATCGCTATCTGTAAGCGAATGGAGCATTTATTCGACGAGCTTATGCGCTTTGGTGCTTGACTCTCCGACTTCTCTCTCTAGGCGTACGATCGGGCATGAGTTCACGACGCATCTAACGTGCACTTCCACCGTGCACTTTGAATTGTGTTAACTAGAAATCGTTATCGAGATTGTTTGTGCAGGTCGATCGTAGCAGTGGCCGATGGCCAACTACTCTCAACAGCTATATGGGCACCAAAGGGCAGTGCACTCGTCTACGTACTCAACAACGACATCTATTATCACCAGCTAATCGGAGAGGCTGTGGAAACGCGACGGTTGACGTTCGATGGCAAGCATCAAGAGATATACAATGGCGTTCCCGATTGGGTTTACGAAGGTCAAATTTTTTTACACCATAGATACACTCTTTTTAGCTTGGGTATTGGTCATTTAAGTAGGATAAATGCCAAATAGCGTGTATTATATGAACTTTAATTTGATAAATATTATTTTACTATGCTACTACTGACTACTAACCACGATGCTTTATTATTTACTAATTGTTTCATCTTTAAAAAGTAATTCTTTAATCTTTCGTTGGATACATTCGCAGAATTGTGCCATTCTGCAATTGGCATGCAATTGTTATCGCTAATTGTCGTTAAAAATAATTATGCTCGCAAAATTATTATTACTTTAAATATTTGATATCGTGTTTATCAAATTCATTTTAATCGCTTAAATGCATTTATAGTGATATCCACGAGAACATTTGCATCGTTGCGCGCAGCGTATGCGCATCTACGCTGATGCGCATATAGACAGCCAATAAAATGCACAAAACATGAAATGTATTAAAGTCGTAATATAGGCCTTGCGTCGAAGCATTTCTATTAAAGATCATAAATTTATTTTAACAGAAGAGGTATTGGCTTCGGATACTGCCATGTGGATTTCTCCTACCGGTGAATATCTTGTCTTTGCCACCTTCAATGATACTCAAGTTTTGGAATCTATAATTTTAAGATACGGCAAACCCGGAGACTTGAGCGATCAATATCCAGTGGAAGAAAAGTTTCGATATCCAAAGGTAAATTTATTAAACTTATTCATGATTCTATTTACTCCGAATATTGACTGATTAAGCGAAAGCGAACCGTATACGAGGAATTAAGAAATACGGTAATTTTCATTTTTTGTCCTCTTTGGACTAAAAATATATTTTAGATTACCGATTGTGGATTTATTGATTGTGAATGTCGTATTAGCGTGACATTTCAATAGTAGTGGTAATGCTCATATGAATATCTCGTTCTTCATTTTTCTCTCCAAAAGACCAAATATCTGAAAATTATTTTCGATAAAAGTATCGTGATTGTAAGGACGATTATGAACAAAGTATAGCCTATCTTGATCATAAAACAAAATCGAAAGTATATTTACAAGCAGTTACTGTAAATAATAATAATAATGTATATTAAGAATTCGAAGACGATAAAAGTCGCGAGATATCATCGTTCTTGCTATTGGGCGTAAGAAACGTCTACGTTGGTAGTGCCGAAGAATATTCAGAAAAAGAAGGGAACAAGGAGTGGGAAGTCCTGGGGCAATTTGCCGTAGGATCTCGAGTATGGAGTTGCTGCTCCATTGATCCGCGATAGAAGAGAACGCGGCGGCTAGATTAGCGTTCCTCTGCTCCTACTTCTCGGACAATGTTAACGGGCCATAAAAGTCTTGGCGAATCCCTCCCTTCTTCTTCCCTTTGCACGTATAAAGGACAAAATGTATACTTTCATTTTATCATTTTATGCCGTTCTACTTCGTTTCTCTCTCTCTCTCTCTCTCTCTCTCTCTCTCTCTCTCTCTCTCTCTCTCTATATATATATATATATATATATATATATATATATATATATATATACTGCGTCATTGGAGTGCACATGGCAGGCGCGTGTTCTTAGAAAAATTTCGAATCCCCATATAGAACTTATAATTACTTCCTGGAATAATGATACGCGACTTGGCTTCTCTCAATGTCTCAGTAACGACATTGTTAATATGTTGAAAATATTAAATTACCAGATGTAATTTACATTTTTTTCGCCAGACGCGTAAAATAATCTTCAGCTTCGGATAAAATTAGCTTTACGTTATTGTGTAATAATTAAGTTTGCCAATGCAATATTAGTATGCAATATATAATGTCTAAGGATTTCATCTTTCATGAAGTAACTTACGTTTCACATATTAAATCTTTTGAAATTGCACTTTCGTATTCCAATCGCGTATTCTTGTAAAGGCCAATAGTAATATGCAGGAGTATGCATGGAGAATTCAACTTTAAAACTATTAATACATCATATGTACAATTACTTTTCCAGGTTGGAACCCCTAATCCCGAGGTCACATTGAACTTAATTGATTTGACGGATCACGGATCGCCATTAATTTCTTTGAAGATTCCTGTCGATATCGTTGGACCGTGAGTTCCTTCTTTTACTTCGTAACTACATAATTTGCGCTTCTAATTTTTTTGGTTTGTTTTTGTTTTTGTTGAAACAAGGTAAATTCATTATAAACTTTTTACGTAATTGAAATGCAAATTAAGTGTAGTAATATTCGAGTCGATGCTTAAAAAAATTGTAATATAAAGAGTAGATAATTAATTGCCCACGGAGACGACAAATACTTTTCCATTATAATTTATAGAATTATTTATCGTATAAAAATTCATAGACACTGACAATCTATCGATGCTCGATGCTCGGTAAATATAATTTCATAAAATCGATACACTCGTATCGACAGCTAAAGCAGTGAAAGTGAAATATTGGCTGCTTTATACAATGTGCGATTGCGAATTAAAATCGTGGCAAATGAATTTTTTTTTATTTTTAATAGCAAGCGTTGCTGCACTTTATATAAGAAGGTATAATATTATATAGATAAATAAGAGTCTGACGAAAGTCTAAAATTTCGTAAGGGAGGCAATACTGTTCGCGGTGAGGTGGTTCGACCCGAAGACGTTCGTGGCGACTTGGACAAATCGAGTACAGAATCTTTCACAGATTGTGAGTTACTCGGTGAACGGAGATTGGCAGCCTCTATTTTCCGAAGAGGAACCTAACGGCTGGCTTTTGTCTACCGACGAAGCGCCCATACATCACAATGGATATGTGCTAATACGCCAGCCGAAGCCGATTGGTTAGCGACGCTCTATTATTTTAAGGTTTTTTTTTTTTTTAAGGAAAGCGATGGTCCTTTTCATATTTTCCATATCAATTTAATGATGTAATGGGAGCTTACGTAAGTTTTTCCTTTTCTTTTTAACAGCCCATGTGTTTATAACATCTGGCCTCTCTTTTCATTAATTAGTTGGCTTAATAGAACGCTCCTTCGTCCTCGACTTTCTATCGCTAAAATCGAACAACTATTTTCTCCCAACAACAGTTATTCGTTATATGAGCACAAAAACACTCATTATTACTAATAATAATTTGCGATTATAGTGAATACGAACCTCGGCTCGTTTATCCACGTCATTCGCTATCGTCTGCTGAACGGTGTCCTGGATCACGAGACCGACCTGACGCCCGGAGCCACTTGGGTACACGCGCTACACGGTGTCAACGATGTGAAACGCGTAGTTTACTACACGGCGAGTCCGGTAGGGAAATCTTCCGAGAAACATCTGTATGCAGTAAGCCTCGAGACACCCGAGGACTCGATATCCGAGCCTAATTGCCTCTCTTGTCAACTCAAGACTCCCGAAGGTTAGATTGCCTTTTTGATGCTTAAGCGCCGAGTTTCTAGTGTGTGACTTATGGAAATATTAAGGCTGAGTGCTAGACTCGCCGGATTATCTGAAATCTCTGATTGGAAAAATTTTTCTTTTTGTGAAAACTCGTTACTTATAATAACTTTTAACGAAGTTTCTTTATCTTTTCGTTCATCGTGACAAAACCTAAAGTGCTTAAAAATAAAATCCATAAGTTTCGTGTTCGGGAGCACGAATAATTAAATGCATTATATTATGAAATATCTCGGTTGTAGGCTTATACTTTTTCAATAAATTTAATTGTACTTTCGCTTATTTTTAAACAGCTGGGCCATTAATAATTTAAATGTATTAATAAAGTTTTTAATGAATATAGATTTTTTACTATGTAAATATTAATTTATGGTAGGAAATGAATGAAAGAAATTATTTTCAAGGTAAAATTGTTACAATACGAGTAAAGTATATATTAACATCAAACGAAAACAATATCGTTTAAAAATAAAATAGTTGTGTTAATAATGAGATGCGGCTAATGATTGGATGGAAATAATAAATTATTTTGTTTATTTTTGCATGTTGCTTACCACTTCTTAATAAATTATAATATAATTGCATTCTAATTTTGCATTTCTTCATCTATGATGTTATATTTTTCAATATTAGTTGAAAATATTACATCTATCAAGTTCTTATTTATTATTATTGCTTTTATTATTACATATTTTCAATTTCATTAGCATTGCAAATTTTTCACGTTTAACTCGATACATCATGCTTTTATATACTTCGCTTAAACAATAGCTTTACGATTCAAATTAATTAATCCACAAAATCGTTTGTTCGTTATTATATAAATATTAGCGTTCAAAATCCAATTTTATCAATTTTAAATTCTTACAATATGTCATTTATATAGTAATTTATTAGGATATGCACAATCGCGTTGTAATACAACATTTAATAGTAAAATATGTTCTACATTTATTTATACGTCATCTTTAGTATATATTTTTCTGCAAATCTATGTATAAATTTTTTTTAATGAAAAGCACATTTCCAACACGCCATTCATAAAAACTCTATAAAAAGATATTTTACAAATATCACGAACATTTAAATTAATTTATGAACTTTATTATTTTAATAGAGCTATAATTGGCATTTGAGAGTTTGTATGTTGAGTAAGCACCTTGAAAGTGATTAAACCTCGTCAACTAAATTTTCTTATTCATAGCTAATGAAGAATTTAATCAACAATTATATTTATTATGTATATACTAATTTTATAGAAAAAGTGATATATAGATGAATTTGAAAGGTTACGTTTCAAGTTTACATGAAGTTTACATAAGGAGTTTATTTAAATATATATATATATATATATATATATATAATTTAACTTTCAATCATTAACCTAATTAAATAATTAAAAAATTTTTTGAAAATATCTGCCAAAATTTTATGAATTTTATGTAAATTTTTATATAATTCATTTTTATGCAAGAATAAATTATAAGATAATGCAATTATAAATAAGGTTATATAATCCTATAATCTTACATGACTCTTAAAGCGCAGTGGCTTTTCTTAAATTGATAATTAAATAATGTCATTTAAGCAGATAAGTCGTCAGTATATTGAAAAATTTATTGCAGAAAGACTTATTGCTGAGTTTCTTTATTTTTTTACACTAAAGATGATTATCTTTTTTTTTCTCTCTTTTTTTTTGTATACTATAATTGAACATATAATGATAATTTTGTCCTTTTTTATCTATTATTATACATACAGGTAACCAGTGTAGCTATGTAAGCTCGGTATTGTTTTCGACGGATTTCTCGCACTATGTGCTGACGTGCTCGGGTCCCGATCCAGCTATTATTAAGGTCTACGACCTCGATGGGACGGAACTGTACACCTGGACCGCTAATTCAGAACTACGACATATGCTAGACAAGCGAATATTACCTGAGCAAAGAGATTTGCATATCAACTCACATGGCTTTGAAGCCAAGGTGAGACTATTCCTACCCGAAGATTTCAATTCATCCGCACAATATCCCATGCTCGTCAATGTGTGAGTGAATTTTTTCATCAACTTTTGAACTTTAATTTCATTTCAATCAAGTAGGAATATACGGAGCAAGAAATTTTATGTTTTTTTTTTTATTGTTCGTTTTTTGTTGTTGTTGCTTTTTTATCGCGAGCCAAATATAAACATTTATCTAAGTCTTTGAAAATATCTAAAAATTAAATTTTTATTCTAGAATGCATTCGTACTTACGTTAGCTTATAGTTGCGTTACTTTAGCTAAACGGAGTTGACGTAATCTTTTATAATGATACATTAGTCTCCTACTTATTATAATAATTTTATTTATAGAGAATTATTATTTTATGGTATGGCGATATTTATTAATATTTAAAAATGAGAGCTTAATCATTGTAAAGTATTAGACGTAGACATTTATAAGAATAATTATCTCACCATCCAAGTATTTGGGATTTATTTATTAAATTAATTGATATTAATATATAATAATGAGATACTCATTTTATCGCTGAATTATACTACAGAATTTTCAAATCAACAATAATTCATTATAATATCGATGATTCTTTATGATTTAGAAAAATTATTTCTTTTAAATTTGTTAATGCCTATTGTGTGTAGTGCGTTGTGCAATGGCTTTGAAAAATTTACTTTTTCCGTAAAATTTTCCCCTTTTTTTGTTATAATTGAGGATCTTGATATATTGGCAATTAATTATTGCAATTTAATGTTCTTTCAATTGATATCCGTAATGATATTGTCACTTATAGCGCATGATTTATTAGAATAACGCGATCTTCGAATCAATCTTCTCGTTAATTAACAAAATGGTCGATAAAAATTTAACAATCCTTAGCGTTGTATATCGAAAAAATATAAAAAACTAGTTATGAAAAATTATTAGATAATATGGAAATACCAATATCTATAATCAGTCTCAATAATTTATATTCACTATGAATTCTCATCGTTTCAACTATTTCGTTATTTTTGTAAAACAACGTAAGATACGCCAAAAAATCGCAAACAGATAGTGCTTTACAATTATTATTCGCTATGCCGTTTTATTGCATTAATAATAAAATGTACGTGTGATATCAGCGTAACTTGGTGCCAAATAAAACGTTGTATCACGTGTAACGATTGATCAAAGGCTGTAAATTTGTTATATCTCATTATTAAACAGCATCTAGTCTTTAAAAACATCAAAGTTCAATTATTCATACCTCCATTTTATAAAAGTACATTGTAATAAAAGATTGAGAACAATTTTCATTATCGAGTAGATACGCTGGACCCGGTAGTCAAAGGATCAATGATGGCTTTTCCGTTGGATTCGAATCGTACATGACGACAAACAGACACGTGGTATATGCATTGATAGACGGGCGAGGCAGTGTTTCTAAAGGCACAGCGATACTGTTCGCGGTTTATCGTAATCTTGGGAGTGCCGAGATAGAGGATCAAATAACCGTTACCAGGTCAGTCAATCACTAACTTGTTAATAGCTTACTGCATGCCTAGCTTCTCCACTCTTTTCCCCCATAGAATTTCAATATTGACTTGCTAATAGCCTACGCCATGCTTTTTAGATCTAATCATTATTTCTTCGTCACGCAAATTGGAATACTTAATGAAATTTAATAATTATTTGTAAATTTCTTAAGCCGCATAATAATATGAGATATAAAGCAATCGATGCGAATAATGAAATATTCCTTTTCACAAATCAAGAAAGGGCGCTCCGTTAACGGTTTTAAAAGCCTTGATATTCGGGAAAATTTTTTTCACTTTAAAACATAATTTTATAAGCTAGCTAGTATTGCTGCTTATAAAACTATTACGAAAGTTTAAAATATCATACGGGTTTCAAATGTAATAGCGAGTAAAAATCTAAAGTATAGAAACAACAAGAAATTCATGACATTCATTCGTAATATTTGCCATTGTTCTTAGAAAATTGCAAGAGAAATATCCTTGGATTGATAAGAATAGAACGGCTATTTGGGGTTGGAGCTATGGTGGATATTCTACGGCTATGGTCTTGACGAAAGACTACGATAATGTTTTTAAGTGTGGGATATCAGTCGCACCCGTTACCAATTGGATTTATTATGGTATGTATACTCTGCCACTCTTGTGCACCATTACAAGCTTAACGTGATCTAATATATGATATCGAGGATCAGCATGATAATTTAAATGCATATGTTTATTAATATAATGCCGTTACTATTGCTTTGTTAAATACAATTAATACGATATTTATATAATTTGATAGATTATCACGTTGCTTTGCTTATTAGAAAATAAAACTATAGAGTATTTTATATTCCATAATTATAAAAAATATAAAAAAAAAAATCCTGCTAAAACTTTGTAATGTAAGTTAATTTAATAAATTTATTATTTAATAAGTATGGGGAATTTTTTTTTATTTTTTTTTTTTATTTTTTTTTTAATCACTTAATGTGGAGTAATAAAAAGTTAACTTTACAATTACAAATGTTTGAATTTCACAATATTGACATATAATTGTTTAATAAAAGTTTGGTCATAAAAGTGATAGAGAATATAAGTTATCGGTAAATTGTAATAACTTGAGCGTTCTATATTGTTGATGTCAAGGTAATTTATCTTCCGTTTTCATTGAACATTAATTTATTTTGTATTTAAGACCCTTATTAATAAAAATGTTAAATAACTGGCTCTTTTACTTAATGCAAATAATAATTTTATAATTTGATAAGACTGATTGTGTCAATGTATTATTGAAATGAAAAATGAACTAGTAAGCATAAAGGTAAACGATAATTATCGAATCACCATTCTAACGAACTGTTGAAATAAAAAATTGATGTTGATAATTTAATGGAATCCATATTTATACATTAATATAAATATTGGGCTGTAAGAGAATCAATAAAATAGGCAATCGAAATTAATCGTAATATTTAACAATTTTCCATTTCTCATATTTACTATTAATGAGGCAGTTAACAATAATACCGTATGGGAGAACATTCATATTTCACAAACCAAAATTGTTTTTTGTTCTTGAATTAATGTTTCTTTCGATTCAATAATATATTCATTAGACAAATTTGTTAGTTTCTCTCCCATTTACATAATAATCTTACCAAAGATCTTTATCAATAAGTCCCTTAGCTAAGCCATTACATAATATTGAGTGGTAAACTCAATTAATTGTAATACTAATGTTTTATCCTCAAATAAAATTCTTTAACGCGTTAATATCGACAATAATTTAATAAAAGAATAATTTTCGTAGACTCGATCTATACGGAACGATTCATGGGTTTACCTACTGTCAAAGACAATCTGAAAAACTACGAAACCAGCTCAGTCCTGAGTCGCGTGAAGAAATTGGCCGACAAGAAATACATGCTCGTGCACGGTACCGGGGACGACAACGTCCACTTCCAACAGTCGATGGCTATGGCTAAGGAGCTTACCGAAGCCGACATCCTTTTCGACCAGGTTTCCTATGCCGACGAGCCACACTCGCTCTACCGGGTTACCAAGCACTTGTACCACACGATGGATAATTTTTGGACCGAGTGTTTCGATTATTGAGCAACATGCTCTCGGAATATGTGACTGGCTGTGGTTCGTCAAGTGACGTCAGGTTTTATTGAAAAGACATTGATAATAATGTGTTTCATCTCGGCTCAACTTTTACAACCTATAGCTATTATTTTACAAAATTTGAGCAAATCAAAAAAAAAAAAAAAAACAAACAAACAAATAACAAAATTTTAATCGTATATTTTTAAGATAAGGGCATTAATGAGAACTTATAGTGCAGGAAGAATTATAACGAGGCAAATAATTAAAAAAATAATATTTCGATTGTTGGGTATATAATTTATCTATTTCACTATTATTCAATAAAAGAGCGAGATTATGAGAATTAATGACAAATAATATTGAAAATCTTATCGTTGCACATATTAATTAAGAACATTATCTTATTTTGTCAAATGTATAAATTAACTTAGTATGAGTTAAATCGATATATTCATAATAAACATGAACTTTCAACATTTACATTAATTTCGTTTTAATCTTTAACTTAAAGCGTCCTCTGTATGATATCCCATGGCGAATAAATTTCTTAATTTTCTTCTATCAAATAAAAAAATAATTTTTTTTTCCACATAAAATCTACTAAAATCGTATATTTTAATTTTTTCATTTATAACGAAGCTTTCGCTCTATTAATCGATTTCACGATTGCATGTGTATTTAAAATAATTTGTAAGCTTAGAAGGGTAATTTAATGCTAATTTATTGTAATTAATAATTATGGGTGCATATCTACCGACGGCTATTTTATGAAATCATATCGTTTTATCATATATTTTTTATTAATAGAAATAAAATTTAGATGAACGTAAAAAAAAAAAAAAAAGAAAAAAAACAAACCAACCCCCCTCCCACCTCCCCCCTCCCCCCTCCCCCGATTTTGTGTATATCACAAGATGCGAGGTCATTATTTTATTTTATTAAGAAAATTTTCATCTTCAAATTCATCATTTACAAGATTTCTGCGAAGGAAAGTATTTTAATGAATGTTAAATTTTCTCTTAATTCTAATGAATTCATCAATGATAATGGAAGAGCGATAGAGCAAATGGAAGTTATGTCTTTAAATCAATTTCTTATTCTCTATCGTTCCGTGAACAATCCCACTGCGGATAAGATATGATAAAGTTCACCGATTACGAAATCCATCATTCAGCCTCGTCGACTGCATTTATCAATGTCCGAGGCACATGTGCATGTACTCCAATTTTATGTATGCGCGCGGGACATGATGTGCGTCGCCGGACATGTAAAGGTCAGTTGGTATACGGTGCATCGCTACCAACTACTGCCCGCAACAACTGCCCACCTAATCTGCTTGTTAAATCTATGAGATTGCGATTTTCGTTGGACGTTAAGGAATCGTCGTCGCGTGCCGAAGAGAAAGCGAGGCCTTCGATGATGTGACCCTCGTGCTATTAAAGCTCCTGGTAACCTTAGCCCCGATGGACTTGGATTTTTCGTCTTTCGAAACGAGGACACGCAAAATTCATTTTTAATTCTATGCAAAATTTTCGGCTCGACTGATGAGTCTAACGATTTTCTAAAGGTTTGGATTTCACTGATTTCTGTTTCAAAATTGTTTTCCTTTTCTTTTCTTTTTTCACAAAGTGACAAAAGTTTGAACTTTAATATGCAAGAAGGTTGTGTCAATTGTACAGATTAATTGTAGATCTTATTCTATTAATTAACGATTATAGAGATTATAACAATGGCTTTAATAGCGATTAAAAAATAAAATAAGAATCTAAATAAAAAGTAATTTTTTTTTTTTTTAATTAAGAAATTGAATTTTTTTCATTCAACATACACATGTGTTATATATAAGTTTTTTTTTTATATTAAAGTCAAAAACCAAATTGAAACATCGACGACTAAGTATTATTTGCATCTGTCAATGTATAAAAGTTTAGATTTCATTTTTTTACTATAAATAATGAATTATTCATATAATTTTAATTGTTATAGATGAAAATAGATAATTGCAATTATGAAACGTGATGTATATACTGCCATAGTGATCATAATAATTAACAATCTTATTTTTCGCTTATATTTATTGAGGTTTAGTAACTTTGAACAAATATCGCAGTAATGATTAGGAAAATATTTTTTTGCGTATAATTATGAATGCATTGCGGGAGATACATTATCGACAGTTTATAATAATTTGTATTATAAATGGCTTCAACTATTTACGACTGAATTACAATTTATTTATCTTATGGTAAATAATAATAATTGTAATATTAATAATAATAATGAAAGCACATAAATAATTCATTAAAATTTAATATTAGAGGTAAAAGTAGGGATATTGTATTGGTTTCGAGACATGAAAATAATGCTATTTTTTAATTTTACTGCTAAAACTAGGTTCTATAGAAACTTATAGACGGAGAATATTAAATATGAACTTGTTATAAATTTCAATAATAATTATTAATATAAATGAAAGCATTTTACTTTAGACTATTTTGTTTTCAATTGCGTATTTTCCAGTTTATTTTTAAACGCAATAAGAAATTGTGACGCAAAAGTTAATCATTTATCGAGATAGTTATGAAATAAATTTAATGATACAATACTTAAAAACTATATCTTATCAGTCGAGTTTTAAATTCAAATAAAAAGAAAAAAAGAAAGAAAAAACGTTTGTAATTTATCGTAACGAATATTAAATAGAGATAAATACAACTCGTGGATCGTTACATATTTACTCTACTTTTTGAATATTAAGGAATATGTTGCTGGTTTCGTGCCTACAATAACATTTCGAGTACGGCGATTCCGAAAGAGGGCTGGATGAATTGTAGGGCTTTGACGAGAAATTATGAATTACGTCAATGTTGGTAAATAACGACGACAGGAGTTGGCAGAGGCAGGAAAGAATCGGATAGTTCGAGAGCAAACCGCGGTTACGATAAATATAAGTAAGTAGCGAATTTGGTGCCCTTCTCGTGTCTACAGGTTGGGAAGGTCGGGCACTCGTGTAAGCCAGAAGGTCAACACTTGGGCGTCGTTATCAGGTCGAAGGGGTAACGCAGTTCAGGGTCGCCGTTCCTCGGCTATTTTCGGGCGTCTACCGACGGATGCGCCCGAATCACGCGAGACACGCCACTCCTTATCGGCTGCCGATCCTCTTTTCCTCCCGTATCCCTGGCGGAACCAGGGGCCCGCGTGGGATAAACATCGCCGTGCCCTGAGGCCACGTGATATTAGCACCTTCGAGCGCTTCATCTTCATTTAGATATGAATTGCGCCCAATAGATAAGGTTGAGGACGGTTATTTCATATCAACGACCTATTGCAATGCCAGGATTGAGTGACTCGACTCGGACTCCAAGTACCCTTTTTGCTTCGATAGATAAAGCTGGCATTCCCTGTTTCTCGTAATAATACTTACGAAGCATCCGTTCCCTGAACTATTATTTCTGCTGTTGTTCTGAGGACAATATAATGTCGTATCTCGGTACGGCATCTTTTATGCATTACCAAAGTACATGCTAAAAACTATTAAATATTATTCTGAAGCTTGAATGGCATCGATATTGTCAACACAGATAGAAGATCTGCGCTAACGATACGTTTCAAGTGGTCCAGACTCATTGTTCAGATACGCATAAGTAAATTTGCATAAATATAGCATCTAATTAATATATACGATTGTATTGAAATTTTATGTTATGATCGATAATTAAAGTTAACTTTTTTTTTTAGTAAACAATATTAAAAGAAATTTTTATCTAAATCTATTTACTTCGTTTAGTCTTAAAAAATGAAAAAAAAATTATGAAAAATAATTATTTCTTTATTGATGTTTTACATTCGATAGCTGTCTAGTTTATTACACTTGAGTTTTTATATTATAATATATATATATATATATATATATGTAGAGAGAGAGAGAGAGAGAGAGAGAGAGAGAGAGAGAGAGAGAGAGAGAGAGAGACAGACAGACAGACAAAGAGTGAGAATTATTTATATTCATTTTTCTTCATATCAATTCATATTATTTCTGAATAAGTACACCTATAAACTTACATTTGCTTTATGTATAAACTGGAGTACTCGGAGATTTTATGATCTTATCATGCTCTGCTCTGTATATTGCTACTTGTGTGTTTACTTTTCATATTCAGTAGATACTTTACTCTTCTTAATGCTCAATATTACATACTAACTTTGTTAAGTTTAAGAAGTTTTGCTGAATCTACGTCGTTAAAGGAAAATAAAGTATTTTAAATAATTAGTCTCGTTTGCTAATAATTTACGCATGTATATCGAGTGCATTAATAATCAGAATTGGTATCAATTAAAAATGTAATTCCTTTAAAGCCATATGATATATTCGAGATTAATTAAACAAGAGGCAATTTTTTATTTAAATTTCATTACACAACGACATTATGGAAGAATTGCAGTATCTAATATCCATAGATAAATATAAATATGTCATTGTAAATTTACAGTCTTACAATTTCAACGATATGCCTATTTGCGGGCATGTGCATCTGCCCGTAACAATCATTTATTAATTACTTGTAAAAAATTATATATTAGAGAGAAAAAATTTCAAATAACGTTTATATAGTATTGTTAATTTTTTATTTTAACAGCCATTTAAAAAGAAAAATCTATCTTATTTCGTAAGTTCTTGTTATCGAAAGTACGTATTTCCATAGAATGCATGCCCGTTTGATTACTAATACAGAATCGCGCGTTAATAGACTTATAAATAAATTTGGACTCGATTATGATTATTCAAATTATTTATTTCTCAAATCAACCGTTGATAATATTTTACCGTTGATAATACTTCAACATAAAAATTATGATGTAAATTATCTGCTAAAGAATGTTTATGCACTGGAATTTATTAATTCCCTATGTGTCTATTAGATTTAGAGAATCTGAAATCTATGAATGTGCTTATTGACAAATTAAATATCTAAAAACAAGATCGTCTTCTCCGCGAGTGTCTACAATAGCCAAAAGTCGAATAAAAAACTTGTTTTTTTCTTTTTATTTTTTTAATAAACGGGTTACGCTAAGTTATAAATCCATTAAATCACAAAATCAGTTAACGAGGTTCTATTTTTATTTTAATCATCTAATATCTACAAACATAACGAGGCTCTGTAATGCTTGTAA